ATAACCGAGGTCAAAATTTGAAGACCACTTTTTATATGCAATTTCTTAGTTATTTCATGTTGATGTCATCTAGTTCAAATATTTTTCTCCCGTGACTCTCTTAATCTTTGTATTCAACAAATGAACATTTGGACTTAGTCTTACGGTAAGACTCTTACCCTATCTTACGGAGAAGGGTGGAGAGAGATTGTTTTCGGAAAAAAAAAAATATTCCTACGGAAGGAACAATTATTAAAGGAAAAAGAAAAGTAGTTTGAAAAGTGCAAAGAAATTGCTGTGTCTTATTGGACCACTACTAGGCCCACCTAAATAACCAATCTATAAAGGAAACAGCCCACTACCCATTTCGCACGCACAAAAATCAAATTGTAGGAGAAAGGAAGAGAATTCTAAAAACCGCTCTCACTTTCTCTCTCTAGAAAAACGAAAAACTCTCACTTTCTCTCTCTAATATCAATGGCGTCGCCACGCGAGGAAAACGTGTACATGGCGAAGCTCGCCGAGCAAGCTGAGCGTTACGAGGAGATGGTAGAGTTCATGGAGAAAGTTGTCGCTGCCGCCGATGGTGCAGAGGAGTTAACCGTTGAAGAACGAAACCTCCTCTCCGTCGCGTATAAGAATGTGATCGGAGCACGGAGAGCTTCATGGAGGATCATTTCCTCCATTGAGCAGAAAGAGGAGAGCCGTGGTAACGAAGATCATGTTGCTTCCATTAAGGAATACAGATCTAGGATCGAGTCTGAACTTACCTCGATCTGTAATGGAATTCTTAAGCTGCTTGATTCTAAGCTCATTGGCTCTGCTGCTACCGGTGACTCTAAGGTGTTTTACTTGAAAATGAAGGGAGATTATCATCGTTATTTGGCTGAGTTTAAGACTAGTGCTGAGCGAAAAGAAGCTGCTGAGAATACTCTCTCGGCTTACAAAGCTGCTCAGGTTAGAGTTTTCATTTTTGCTTATTGATAAACAAATTATTCGAATTCTGGAGAAAATATTTGCTTAATTGTCATGTTTGATCTCGTGCTTTCAGGATATTGCTAATGCCGAGCTTGCTCCTACACATCCAATCCGATTGGGACTTGCTCTCAATTTCTCTGTGTTTTACTACGAGATTTTGAATTCTCCTGATCGTGCCTGTAATCTCGCCAAACAGGTATGTGTTTCATTAACTTCTTATCACAATGCCTTTGATTATAGTAGGAATAGCTGCTAATTACATGAATATGCCGAGTTATCCTAATGAATGTTACCATAATTAGTTGTAATTAGTACTATTTGATACACTGATGAAATTGAATCAGTTGCATTTGATATAATAATAGTTGATCTTATTAAATAATGATTTATATTGTTGATTTGATCATATGAAAGGCCTTTGATGAGGCAATTGCGGAGTTGGACACATTGGGCGAAGAGTCCTACAAGGATAGCACTCTGATCATGCAGCTTCTTCGTGATAACCTCACTCTATGGACCTCTGATATGCAGGTACATATATATTTCTTTCTATTGTTAATACGTTTTTTTCTTGTTTCATTTGTAGAACAATTTTATTGATCTTTGCATCTTGCTTTATTCTTGTTCAGGATGATGGAACTGATGAGATCAAAGAAGCTGCACCTAAACCAGATAATAATGAATGAGCAGCAGTAAAAACTGGTGAAATTTCTTTAGGATTGAAATATGCTATGTTGTAACTTCTTTTTCATTTGTCCGAATTCAGCTCTTTGTTAGTTCTAGATCTTGTGATTTGTAATACCTAAAATCAACCGTTTCTTGTTAATTGTTGTTCTTGTTTGTTTCTATGTTGATTTCTCTTGTATTCGGATTATTTCCTTTTTCTCAAAGGAATGACTTATTGGGTAGTTGGATCTACCTTTTAATCCACAAATTTGTTAGCTTCTCCATTTCATATTACATGGATATAAATTCAAAAACTTTGTGACTAAGCATTGTGTCTAGATTGAAGTTTCTGAGCTTCTCCATTTCATATTTACATGGATATATGTTCAAAAACTGTGTGCCAAACTAGGCATTGGGTGGGTCAAGATTGAAGTTTATGAGCTTCTCCATTTCATATTTACATAGATATATGTTCAAAAACTTTGTGCCAAACTAGGCATTTGGTCAAGATTGAAGTTTATCAACTTCTCCATTTCATATTTACATGGATATATGTTCAAAGACTTTGTGCCAAACTAGGCATTTGGTCAAGCTTGAAGTTCCTTAGAAACTCATTTCTACTCTTGCATCTGAACATTGACCTCAAACTTTCATCTTTCTTTAATGTTTAGGTAGGTATGATAACTAAGCTAAGCATTATATTTACGTAACAACCCTTGTGAAAAACGCTCTGCTCTGTTTCTGGGTTGTTTAATGTTTGTTTGTTGTACTCTCTCCATTCCAAAATACTTGTCATGTTTCCCTCCTTGCGAGTTAAACTGGATTTAGGTTAATATCTTAAAATTGGGATATTATAAAACTATCGGTTAGTACTATAAGTTGCTATGTTTATATTGGTCGTGAAGTATATAGTTTGAGTTTCGAGAAGGGAAAATAACCAAGTATTTTTAGACGGGAGGAGTAGTAAACAAGAGTCCTCCCTGCTTTTGTTTGTCCCATCTGAAAATGACTTGCCTATGGCAATTGACTTGGTCATAAAGTGTCTGTCCTACTAAATATTACTCACTTTTAATTATGCCAGCAAGGTACCACTCACTTTGTTCATTTTTCTCACAAGGAGGGACCTACTCTTTTCTTTTGATTGTATTAAATTTTTAGAAGGGGTGGGGTAACTCATTCATATCATTAACTAGCTGTCTACTTTCTTGTCGATTCTCTTATGATGTCTTGGTTTGAAATTTGAAACCTATCTAGTGCTTTAGCCTTTAGATATTGCTCCTTGGTGAAGAAGCTATAGTATAAATTACTCAGATTTGGATAAGGCCCTTTCTTTAGTCATAATCATTAGTTTTGTCTGTTCCTCTTTTCAATATCACTTGTTCAAACCTTGACTGTAAAAAGGCAATAATATTGCCTGGTACCCATTCATTACCTCAACTGCTGTGCTTTAAAAGCATTCTTCTTAATGAGTATAGTTGGCACTAGACACTTTTTGCTCTGCTTTTTTCAAACTTTACAGTTGGATTTATGGAGGCACTTTTCTCTAGTTAAATTTAATTGGCACTTTACCCTATTGCTGCCTTTGAACTCTTGGTCCTTATGAGGTGCATGATCTAAATGTTGGTTGTTGTTTATTGGTGAAATCAATTGGATTCATTTTCCAATTTGGCATCGTAGTGCTGAGCTGAGAGTCTATCGAAAACAATCCCTCTATCTTCGTGAGATAGAGGTAAGGTTACACTAGATATGTTGTTGGCAATATAGTATTGGGGTATTAAATCATATGGGTCGAATGGATGTGCTGTAATGTAATATAACATGTTGTAGTCTGTGCCTAACTGATAACAACTTTTCAATTTTGTCGTGTGTGATGTGGATGGTTTTTTCCACGATGTATCCACGTAGGACATAAAGTATTTGAAATGCCATCTAATAATGTGATAGAGATAGACTTGTAGAAATTAGTAGACTAATTGGAATCTAGTATGTCATTTGGTGGTTCAAAAGGTCGTTAATTGAATGGTTTGTGGTTGGCTGCATGTTCCTTTGAAATTGTAAAAGTGGGGTAGGTCTGAGTAGATTTTCATTCTTATCATGCACAATTTTGATTTGCTGTCAAAGATTCACCAAATTATTGAAAGTAGAAAAGAAGAAGAAATGAAAATTAAAAAAATGGGACGGTGCGGCTGAGTATAGTTTATTATCCAAGGGAGAATCATGTATTTCTTTCGTTGACATGAAATTTAAAAAAATATGAAAAGACTTTGTAATATTCCTCAAAAGAGGTCTCTAAACGAGTTGAGTTAATAAATGGCGGATCGTTGACCTACTTAAAATGGTGTTTTTTTTCCCGCTATAAATACTCCCTCAGTCCCTAGTTACTTGTCCACTTTTGAATTGACATACTTGTTAAGAAAATAATTATTGACGTGGTGAATTTATTATTTTACCCTTATTAATTATGAAATAGATGAATTAAAAACTTGGGGTTTTTTTACGAAGTTCTACATTTTTCAAAGTAATTAATTGATGATATAATAGGTAAAAAAATTTGTCCTTTCTTGATTTGTCAAAATAGACAAGTAATTAGGGACAGCTAAAAAAGGAAAAATGGATAAGTAATTAGGGATTGAGGGAGTATTAAGTAAAGTGAAGCAAAAGAAGTTCCAAAATGAAGAATTCGTAAGAAAAATTTCTTATAAAAAGTTATATTTGACAAAAGATCGTGTAGTTTGATGGTATATAATTCATTGATCCGACTAATTTCAATTCGCAATGGAAAGGACTACAGCGGGAGTAAAATATACTATGTTTCCGATGTTCGAGTCCGATCAAAAGGTACTCTAGTTCCTGGTCCTCGAACGAGGATAATAAAGGGATTACAACTATCCACCACACCACCTCAGTAAATACATCTACTCTATCCTAAGATCTTACAATTCTGAAAATCCATATTTCTTTAAAATCAATGAAATCTAAATTAATTAACCATTTAATATTTGAAATTCACTATCTCGATTAATTTGAATTCGCATTAGGAAGGACCACTTGTGGAGTAACATGCTCCCTCTTGAAAGTCACTTTGTCCCAGAGACTCGAACCCTATTGAAAAGTTACTAGAGGGCTCGAACAGACCTCGGTCAAGAATAAAGGGATTGCAACCACAAAACTTCGAATATTCCCATGTATTTTACATGTCCAAACAAAATTTCAAGTTCAAAATATCATAACTTCAAAAACTCAAATTTTCAAGCTTCTAACGTCAAAAATTTATGGCCCAAACTGGAGCTATATTATAGGATAAAAAACAAACAAGAGAATGAAATTTTTGAGGATGCAATTTCTTGTATAACTGAAAACACATTTGTACAGCATAGTAACATTGTTCAGTAACTGTACTATTCAAGCTGTATTTATATATATATATATTACAAAAGGTTTTCCTATTCAGAAATTGGTTCTCTCTCAAACATGGAAACTTTTCCTCATTATGAGGTCACCAACTTTTCGAAACAAAGCTTTTCTTCTACTACTAACATTTCTATCGTTATCTGAATCCTCGAAAAGATTTGCATTTGGTTTTCCTTCCTCGTCTGCTAAGGCAGGTGAAGAAGCTCTTCTACAATGAGATAATGAATGTGGTGTACGATGCTCTGACTTTGGCGTGATTGAAGTTGGATCAAATATCGATCCCTTAAGTGTCTCGTCCTTTTCATCATCCTTGTTTTTGTCAAGTTTCAGCTCTGTAAGATCAGTCCTGAAAGCTTTCCTGCCTTTATGATCATCTTCACGTTCCTCGACCATTTCATTAGGTACATTGACATTGTCATGAGAAGCTGCATGCCCGTTGATCCTAAGGCGTTCATTTTCTTTAGTGATGAAATGCAGGGCTTCTTCTTTCTCGGACAGACGATCTTTGAGTTGAGAATTTTCATCTCTAGCTAAACCAGCTGCAGCTTTTGCTGCATTGGCTTCATTTATAGCCTGTTTCAATATGTCCCTCAATTTGAACTTTTCATCCTTGGCTGCTTTACTCGTATACTCGGCTGCTTTAAGTGACTCTGCAAGCCTTTCTGTCTCGCGTTGAGCCAAACTTCTTTCCTCGTCAGCTCTTTTTATACAAGTGATGAACCCCATTTCTTTCCCGTTCCACGCCAAAAGTGACTCCTCGTTCTCTAATCTCAATCTCTCTGCTGTATTTCTGTATAGGTCTGCTTCCTTTTTTGCCTCATCCAAGAGCTTGTGATACCTAGCCTCGGTGTTTCTGATCATCTCTTTCAATTTCCCCTCCTCGTCTTTCACTTGTTCTAACTCTAATTGAGTAGCAACAAGTTTCTCCTTAGCCTCGGAGGTTTCAGTAGCAACTTCCTTCAACGCTAACGCTAAATCATCCATCGCCTTTCTGCTTTTTTCCTCTGCTTCGCTAGCAAACTTAAGTTCATTTTTAAGCAAATTTATCTCGTCGTTCAAATTCTTAACCTTCGACAATGCAATTTTCTCCCTCTCTTGTGCATTAGCCACGTCCTCCTTTCCCAATGCAAGTTCAGAGTTAAGGCTTTCAAGTTCCTTCTTCACAGAATTCGCAATCTCCCCATTGCTATTATAACCATTCAAACGCCCACTATTACTTCTCTTCGATAAAGAAGCAGAAGCAGAAGCAAACTCTAACGTCTCAACCTTCTTGCGAAGTGAAGCCATCTCAACCTTAGCTTCTTCAAGTTCAATCTTAGCACGTTCAAACTGCCTCGTCTGTAACTCAAACGAATCATACATTTTCGACTCAGACAACTTCCTATTCTCCAATTCAACTTCCAATTCTTCAATTTTTTTCTTAAACACAAACAATTGTTCCGTGGCTTTAACTTCAGACGCTTTAACACGACCAATCTCCTCTCTCAATCCTCCTAACACGACATCTTTTTCAGCTAATTTAACCTCATATTTCTTCACCCTTTCGAGTTCCACCTTCAACGACTCGATATTCTTATCTTTAATCTTCAAATCTTCTTGTGTTTTTGAATGAAATTCCCTCAAAACTTTAAGTTCTGCAATTAGTTCCCCTGCCCTTTTAGGTGATAATCCTTCATTAGCCAACTTTTTCATTTCTCTAATTTCAAGAATTGCTCTATTTTTTTCACCTTCAACAAAATCTAATTGCTCTTTTGTTTCCTTCAACTCCTCTTCAACAAGTCCCATTTGCTCTTTCATAACCAAAACTCTATTATTCACTTGATTCTACAAACACCATAAACAAAAAATTAATTATTATTTTTCGGATGACAAGAAAAGTCCGCAGCCACTAACTATTCTTTGGGTGCGCACAGGGTAAAACCTCATTTCTATGCAATAGCTTGCAAACCACACAGGAGAGGCTACTCGCACTGGGCTTGGTAAAACCATCACTCCTATGCAACAAGCTCGCAAACCACATAGAATGAGAGGTGATCTGCACTAGGCAAGTCTGGTGCGACGAGCTTGACCCAAAAGGCAAATCATTTGTTTTTGCTGGCAAGAGTTTTTGAACTTGAGACCTTCAACATAAAAGTCTCAAGCCCAAACCACTTGGCCAACCCGAAGGGTCAAAATTTTAATCTTTTTACACAAACCCAATTCAAAAAATCAAATAAAAATCACAATAATAAATAATTACCTCAATTAAATTGTCAATCTTGGAGGGCTTTTTTCTATCAATAGAAACGACAGCGTTTGAATCAATTTGACAACCCAAAGCATCACCTCTACAAAGCTTTGATGCAGAAAATGTTCTTGAAAATCTTGAAGAATAACTTTTTTGTCCAAAATCAATGGACCCAGATCTACAAATTTCTCAAAAACATCAAAAAGATTCAATCTATAATTATAAAAAATTCAAAAAAAAAATCAATTTTTTTTCAAGAAAAAAAAAACCCAAGAATGGATAAACCTTAACAAACAAATCCGAGAAAATCTCTCAACTTCAAATGAATTATATACACACAATATACATACATCAATTTAGAAAATATCGACACCCCAAATAATAATTAAACATTTATATAATGATAATAACAATGAAAAATTATTTTTAAAAAAATATTAAAATGGGGTTACCTTGATTTTGAACGTAACATTTTTTTCTTGGTTACGTGTTTGAATCTCTTTTTTTCTCTTGGAAAAATCAGCAGAAAAAATTAGAAAATTCTAACTTTTTATATTTTTTTGTGTATTTTTTGAGAAAAAAAAGTTGTGTTTTTGAAGGTTTGATGACAAAGTCCGAAGTTGGCGGGGGTTTTGTTTGGTAAAAATAATGTAACGGAAAAAGGTTTTGTAAGAATGAGACAAAGTGAAAGGGACCTATAAAAGGTTAGAAGAAGAAGAATTAGAAGAATTTGGTTGAAATGGTAGAAGATCTATGCGAATTGACTAAATTGCCCTTGGTTAAGGTCAACTTTTGAAAATTTAATGAGTTAATTAATTAGAGATAATAGTTAATTACATGAAGTTTTCAAATGTTTATACTCAGTCCATTTGTGTCACTTTTAACATATTAACAAGTACTAATTATTTTTTCCCTTTTTTCTCCTTAGCAATTAGCATTAATTATTTATTCTTCAAATTATTTTTCAAGACATGAAAATAAACATCAATTCATATGGGTATTATAGTAAAATATTTATGTCAATGGTTGATTGTTAAGGAGGGTACAAAATTCAAAGTGAACAGGTAAAAGTGAACGGAGGTCGAGAAGAGTATTTCACTAGAAAATATTGAAGATATTGTTTTTGTTATGACGATTGTGGTGTTTGGGGATAATTTAAGTGTATCTTGATTGATTTTATGAGATATCGATTACTTTTCATCAACATAAATATCAGGTATGACATTCACTAAGTTGTTGATTTAGGATCTCCAAAGAAGAATAGAAGTCTTATAATGTATGTTGTGTATGTCTTAAGCGACATTCAAAAGATTAAAAGATGAGTAGCTTCAAGGTGGACCGGTGGGTAGAAGATTTTTGCATACATGGTTGGGGATCCGTGTGAATTGACTAAATTGTCCTTGGTTAAGGTCAACCTATGAAATTTATGAGTTAGTTAATTAACACAACCTCCACCAAATTTTTTTTATAATTAATTACATGAAGTTTCAAAGGAGTTTACGTTTCATTTGCAAATACTGAGGTCATTATTTTGCAAGTTGAAGTGTGGACATAAAATTTTGAGTTACTAGTGGATGTACTATTTGAATTTCAACACTTTTGTATGGATGATTATTACAAATTGTTTCATAGTATATCATATTAGAAAATTTTAAATAAATTTTATAGTGTTAAGAGTTAATTAATTTCTATCCTTATTTTTTTTTAAATTACAAAATTCCTTAAATTTAGTGGAATTTAGATACATCTCAAAATGTAACGATACATTGCGTCTCGGTTTTGAATACATCACTCAATGTCCCGATACATTGCGTAAAGTGATATATCCGATCGATACATCGCGTAAAGACCGATACATCGCGTAAAGTTATGTATCCGAGAATAGGAAAGAGTAGGGATTTTTGTAATTTTTTCAGATGGTAAAGAATTTTAGAAAATATGATCAAATAAGTTGTGTATTTAGGTAATTTTTACATCATATTAATATTGTATTACATAATATTATTATGGTGGATATAATATTAAAATAAATTATATTATTTTATGTCGATACATAAATATCTTATATCAACAATTTGAAAGATAAACCTATAAAAAAGTAATATACAAAATGAAGTTCCTATATTGATGAGAAGTTTGATTTTTCACCTTATAATATTGTCCTCGAATATCCCCTACCGGGAAAAAAAAAGGAAAAAGTTTCAAGTTTATTACATAATAGAAATGATGTATGGAACGGGTAATTCAATCAATATAAACTTATTTCATGTGACGTATAGAGTGAATAGTCGATATTTGAAATTAATTCAAATATCGTATAAGATTCTCTTAAAATAGAATTTCAAACATAGAAACTATATAAAAAATTTTATAAATGTTCTTACTTTGTGTCGATGAAAAATATATGAGATGGACATATTCAATGAAGGTAATAGAGGATTGATTATAATAGTTTATGTTAATCCTCATGAAAGATGCAAAAGCCAAATATTTAATTATAAGCTTTCATTAACCCCTAAAGCCATATATAGTATTATTTCGTATCAAATTATGTATTGTGATTTTTTTTAATAGTAATTAATTAATTATGGTTATTTTAGCAATTAAAGATAAACTTACTTATTTTTCTCACTTTACACTTTGTAGTAATTATTCTTAAACAATACAAACACCTTAATACAGTAAATATTTAATTAAAATATATTTCATATCTTAAGATAAAAATAAGAATAAAATAGTCAGTAAACCCTCCATTTTAATTTTTAAAAGAGACATGAAAAAAGATATAACACGATAAATAATTTGAGATGGGAAATACTTTATAAGATTACAATTATGTGATTGATTATAAATTATAGATTTTTGAGTTTATAATTTTATTTTATTAATAAAATAAAAGGAGACATGGAGAATGCTTAGAAGTAAAGAGAAGTCTGACTTTGTCTAGGGGCCGGCAAACATGACGTTGAAATTTGTTTTAATTAATATTTAGTTTAATAATGGATTAATTTTAAATTAATTATTATAATCTCTAATAAGTATTGTAATTTGTAATTAATAAATTTTGTGAGTTTTGACCATACAATTGGGTTATGTTACCTACTTAATAGGAAATTATATTTTTAAAAAGTCAGAAAATATCAATTTTGAAGAAATTTATTGTGGCGGCACGTCTATGGCAGGTTCCCGTTGATGTTACTGGGTCTAAAAGTTTATTTTTTTTTTCATTTTTAATTCGGTGTTCGATATTAATATTAAAGCTCTGATTAATTTAAATTTGCATTCATATAATAGCTATTTTTTATATGATCATTCAACTAATAGTTAATATCTCAGAAAGTTAATTTTTTGTAAAAGAAAAATGAAATTAAGAAGTAAAAATGATTTTTTGAAATAATAATAATTGATAGTTAAGTGATCATATGAAAAAATCAACCCTACTAGTTACATGGTTGTTACACATTATTTCATAATGTATCGTATTTTCTTGTTTTAATGAATACAACTGAATAACTTATATCGTTTTTCACCGTTAAAGGATAATACTACAAGAAAGAAAAAAAGTAGGGTATGGTATAGTAACTCTATATTAAGGTAGGATATATGATAAAGTATGATTATTAACTAATAAGTCAATAAAAATGAGAATAAAAGAAGAAGATGTAACTACACCAAATTAGTCGTTACATGAAACAAGACATTTCATTGTTTCATAACAATAAATTTAACAATGCGATACAATAAAATTTAAATAAATATTATATATATTCAAACTAAATGGCAACCATCCAAACATACTTAATGCTTACACAAATTTGGGAGAAATCAAAGATTCTGTATAAATAATACTGTCTTGAATAGTATGTGTAAATATATCATCATCATTCAATGGCCATATTCGATTTTTGCATAATTCAAATGCTCCATGGGATATTCTATATACCACATTTCCACAATCTGTTCTTGAACTAAGTAACACTTGCTCATCTGAAAACATATATATTGATATTATAAACAGAATTCCATTACATGGAATGGTGAATAATTTCATCCAAGATTTCTTCCTATCATATTCTTTCATAATCCATAAATTAAACATACCATGGTCGGTAAAATAAGCACAAAGCATTTCTCTTAATATCGCTACACCAATGTAAGTTCTGTGCACCATCTCTGACAAGGTATCTCTATGTACATCTCATTTAGAATATTAAATGAAACTACACAAAACCTTGGTAAAACACCAACCCAATGAAATGCTCCATGTAGAAAGGCCAAACAACCCATTTTAGACAAATATAAAAAGGTTTTTGTAATACCACCTTTGATTTCATCAATTTTCCTCCAAGAACCAATTTTTTCAAGTAAGACGATTTCATCGGTTTCATTGATAAAATCTTCATTAACCCTAACGACTTTATAGGCATCGCGAGAAAAGGCCCAAAATAGTCCCTCATCTTTGGATTAAGACTTAAAGTCATCTTTGAGTTTTTACATGGAGCATTGATAGTCCCTCATGTTTACAATATTGGTGCACTTTTGATCCTTCTTCAAAATTTTGCCTATTTTTTAACATTGATTTTATTCATAATTTATGTATGGAATGTTTAATCGTCATTTTATATATTTAATAGAAATAATAACTCCATGTGAGAGATTGTGAGTAAGAAAAATATCTTATTTTGTTTAGTAGAAATCGTATTGCAGGTAAAGTCGAGAGGTTCATCACGACGATTTCACGTACAATAGTACATTTTTTTCTTTTCTTGCAATGTCATAAGCGCTGATACATTAATTTGATACGCGAGATACAATAATATAAGCGCTGATACATGCGCGAGATACAATAATATAAACGCTGATACATTAATCTGATGGGCGAGATATAATAATATAAGCGTTGATACACACTTGTAACAATAGAGAAATATGGAATTAGTACAATAAGTACTAAGTATGACGACCATGCAAGAAAACATGCACAACGGACATTTACAAGGAATGTATGCTTTTAAGACCTTTAACAAACCTTTACAACCACAAGCATAAACCCACATTTCAAGTCACCATTCACAAATAAGACCATATTCACATCATTTACAACTCAATACTTAAAAAAGATAGCAAAGTAAGTCCTTCATTACCATTTAAGCCTCTATCTCAAGTCACCCTAAGCCACACTTAAGTGAATAATGAAGTGACCGCCCATAAAACCTCTTCATATACACCTAAGTGTTCCTAAGAGTTACCATAGACAAGGGTTTTATCATTACATTATAACATACTGAGTCAACATTCTTTATAAAACCATTTAGGAGACACACAAGCATATAGGGGACAACCACATAATAGCCCTAAGGCTTAGGGAACTCACTTTAGTATCTTCAAAGCCTACTCGTGCCATGTGTAGATAGCATCCCATACTACTACCTACACGTTGTAGAACCTATCCAATATTAGAGTGCATATCCCATATGATGGAAATA